GATTCAATAATCTCATCTTTTATATCTTCCAACTTTTTCTCTTTCTTCAAATTCATTGCAATATTATTTTTTTGATCAGTAGAATGTGATTTAACAAAATTACTATTTAACTTTCCAGAATTTGAAGTATCATGTTTTGTTTCTTCATCAAAATCAGATTCATCATCGAACAATTCATCATAACTTTTAGTTATACCAATACGTTTGCTTCTTCGGGTAGTTGTCTGTACAGTGTGCAATTTTTGGTCGTGCTCTAACTTTTCAAACGAGGATTTAAAAGAAAGATTACACGTAATGCATAATACATCATAATTATTTATTTTAAAGTTTTGTGTTGATTTTGTATTGTTTAAATCAACTATGTTGGAAAGATTTTTTTCTGTACGGTTATCCTCAGTATTTGAAATTGAATTTTTCATATTATCAATATACCTGTCACTTACATATTTTATTGGCAATATATTAGTCTGAACACCATGAACATCACGGTCATGCTTTACTTTATCTCTAATCTTCAAAAATTTTTCAAAACAAAATGAACAGGAATAATTGTTTGAAAGTGATGTTTCTTTAGTAGGAATTATTTTCAATGTTCCACCTGGTTCTGTCAAGTCAATGTACCTGGAAAACCAAATGGGCATAGAAATTATTTTGCTCTAATTTCTTTTCATACATCCTTAGTTATATATAAAAGAAAAATATTTTTTTTTCTTTTTGATTTCGTGAATTATGAACAACAAAATCCATTTGTATACCATCTTGAACACTGTTAAAATTGTATATGTTTACAGCAAAAATATTTCCAATATTGAGTTTATTTTTATGAGTTGACAGCATGACTATTTCCATCTTACTTCTGTTTTTATATCCTTGGAAGTACTTAAAAATATGTTTTAACAATGAAAGATTATAAATACTAATATTTCATAGTCAATAACTGAAAAAAAAAATGATAACTGATAACCATAAAAAAACTCTACTAGGTACAGCGCGGAAGTAATGTAATTCCCTGATATAATTAATGTGATTTTGATTTCAAAATATTCGCATTAAAAGAACATAAATAATTATTTTCTAGTTTCGATTAAATAATAGGGAAATATATATATATATATATAGTAATATTTCAGATGGTTTTCTCTTCAAATTCTTATTTATTTTAGATAAATTATTATAATTTAGATTTAATATTTAATTAATATATTGAAGAAGATTTCAAGTTTCTCTGTTTAGAACAATTTTACATAAAATCTAAAATAAATTAATTGCATTTTAAATAAATTATATTAATATTCAATAATATATTGTTTGCCTAATTTCTTAAATTCTTTTTGTTAATAAAAACTTGATGCAAGTACATAGCTAACCAAGTTTGATCAAATCAGTTTATTTGAATGATTTTATAACATTGTACATGAAACTGATTATGTAAACGAAAATATTGAACAAAACAGTAATTCTTTAATTGAGTACGATTATTATTACTAGAATAGTTGCATTCTTAGTTTTTAAATTAACAATTAAAAAAAAAATACATTAATAATGTCAAGAAAGTTTTGAAACATAATTAAAAATTTAATATTCTAAGATGCATGCAAAATAAAATTACTACAGATACAAGACTAGATTTGTATAATGTTGTAAATCTGCGCTTTTAATATTGTTCCTTATATTATATTTTATAACTGGTTTTTAAACTGATGTTTAACAAAATTTGAGTGTTTAATCTATTATTCAAAGTAAACTGTAAAGCAAAGAATATTGGTAATTACTGATTATAACAAGTTAGAACAGTTATAATGATTATATTAAATTCATTACAAAAACAAAGGCTTATTGATAGATAAGATTTTTGGACTATTTTAATTTGATCTAATTCTTATATCTTCTATCTAACTAAAATATGAAAAACATTATCAAAAATGATATATAACACAGCAAAATTAGCAAATATTTAATAATTTGTAAATAAAATATTGTTAGTTATTTTTTGGTTTTTGAATCTTTATTATTATTCTACCATTAACGAGTTTATTATATTAGCGGATTGTGAATTTTATATGTATGTGATAATTGTACAACTCATTAATTTATACATCTCTAAAATATTATCGTGAGATCAAATCATTTTATTTAACAGAAGAAGACAGAAATTTAAAATATTGTATTAATAATAATTATTTTTAAATTCACCACAATTTATTGGGATTGTGATAAATAACTGAATTCTATAATATTTTTAAATAGTTCCTAAGATCACAGTTTTAAATAACTAATTCATTTTAGTTGTTATCCATTTATAGTATACTTCCATGGTTTACACATTAGAAAAATATTTAAAAATAAACTAAGATATTTACATTTTTCAAAACTAAGACAAAAATAGATTTTTAAACCAATGTAAATTCATCAGAAGTCTATCTAAAAATTAATTTGCTACTTAATAATGAACTTTTAATAAATAAATAAAGTTTTATAAACAAAATACACAATTGTTGTAGTTTAATATTTACTTTCATAGTAATATAAAATGTTACTGTTCAATTTGGTAAACAAATGAAATTGTATTGCTTTCTTATCATGACCAGTAGTTGAGCACTAAACTAAAATTAAAAAAATACTCTAAAATTATAATTGTTATATGCCTGTATTTCAACATGTTTTTTATATTAATATTTATTTTTATTTACTATATGATTTAATTGTTGGACATGATCAGTTTTTTTTTAATACATTTTGTCAGAATTATGTTTAATGTTATGTATTATTTCTAAATTCTTTATATGGCACATAATTAACCAATTTAAAAAAAAATTATATGAAATATTAGATACTTATAAAAAAAATAAATTTTGTAACTAAAACAAGCAGAAAAAAAATGTAGAATAAAAAGTATTAATGAGTTTGAATATTTGTTAGTTATAAATCACATTTGTGTTTTTTAAACATAATTTATATCTACACAAATTATATACAACCATCTTTAATATAACATGTAATGATAAATCAAATTGTATTTAATTATTAATTAAAATAAAGAAACATAATTTTTTTTTATATAAATATATATTATATATATCGCCTGCCGCAGCGAAGAAGGTCGTATCTCTGTTTTCACAAATTTTTTTTTTTTCAAAGTTGTCATAACTGTTTTTGTGTAGTTCCCGCTAAACTGATAGTAGCATAAAACAGTCAAAGAAGTTCTATACAATAAAATGCAGTTACTACCGTCTTCGCGGGAACTACACAAAAACGGTTATGACAACTTTGAAAAAAAAAATAAAAATTTGTGAAAACAGAGATATGACCTTTTTCGCTGCAGCAGGCGATATATACAATTAACCAGAAGTATAATATTACTAAAAAAATTGCAATACATTTAGAATCTAACAATTATATTTATTTACATTCTTAATTTAGTAAAGCAAAAAGTACAATCAATCTTTGTTTTTAAACCTAAAGAGTACCCATCTATTATTTAAAAAAATATGAATATGAATATTTGAATTTGATAATTAGATATACTACTTTATTCCTAAATAAATTTTATCATTAATCAAGAGTTGTGCTCCAACTACCTTACATTTTAAATATTAATTATAAGCATTAACAAAAAAAAAAAAAAATACTTATTTAATAATAAGCATTTATGAAATACAAATGTATATATAAATTATAGTCCGCTGATTATCTAACAAGTAGAATAAATTATCATATAAATACCTAAAGGAAAAAAGGAAAACTGTCATTATTTAATTAATGTAGAATGTACCTATAAATGTATAATTATATGCAATATACTTGAAAACTAAATTTTGAATTTTACTAGGATTCTTTATGTAAAGATAACTACAGAATGTGATTATATTGGTTAAATAATGTTATGTAAATTTATTTATATAAAAAAATAAATATTGATTTCTTACAACAAATGTATAAATAATATATATAAATATTACAGGTACTGAAAAGTTTCAACAAAAAAATTTAACTCTTACTGTATATTTTTATTTTTATGATACATAATTTATGTTAATTATTACTCAAAATATGCGCGCTTTACATATTCAAAACTAGTTAATTTCATACTTGAGTTCTAAATATCAAACTAGGATGTCCGTATAAGTATTATTATTATTATTTTGAAAGGTTTGAGTTAATTGAGAGAACATTGCACCTGCATGTGTTGTCACTGTCTTACAAATTGCCTACAATTCAAATTTGTGTTTATGAGTTCTAATTGTATGTAATAACTAATAACTTTTATTAATAAGAAAGAATTAACCTACTGTCACACTTAAAAGTAAGAACATTATCTATGCTTTTTCAGGATTTTTTTTTATGATATTTTAATTTTCAATCAAGATATATTGGTAAGAATTTTAAAAAAAGAATATTTTACATAATCATAAATTGCTTAAAAACTTAAATATCATAAAAATCTCCAGAAATAGCATAGATATCACCTTTTAGGTTTAGAATAGGTAAATTCACTATATCCTTAAAGCTTACAAAAATTGCTGAAAGTAGGTTTGTAAGGCGGAAAAACATAATATGTGACATACTCTCCACTATACATTTATAATTATGTAATAAAGATTTAAATTATAAAGGCATAATAAGTTATCAAATTATGCAATAATATCATATAAGAAATAATAAAATACTATCCATTCATGTCATATAATAATACTTTCAGAAAATGAAAAATATAATATACCCAGGTATATGTTTAGATATTTTATTTACAACTTTGTGTATTTAAAGTATAGTATTAAGATTCTACAACATTATGCACTAATACAGCAACCATAGTATTTTCAACTTATGTGCAAATTAGTTTAGGCTAGGCAGTAGGCAATTAATAAAAATTATAACAAATAAAACTAATTTCATAATTTAACTACTTAAATATTGTTATATTTTAAATCCTATATTATATCAGATAATCAACGTTTCTATAAAATCAAAAATTAGTACTTAATACAGAAATATCTTACCTTTTTAATGTTGGATTTAACCTTTCGTCTTCTCGAATATCCACCTACAATATAAATAAAAACTAGTATTAATATCTGGAATCCAATAACCATAGATTATAGTACCTATATATTGTGATTATTTTTATACGACACAGTTCACTACCACTCTTAAAATGGTTGTATTCATGCCCAAAACAACTTAATAATTATACATTTATAATTGCATTCATAAACATTAGATACTGCATGACTGCATCTCAATAACAAAATAAAAATAAATATTCAGTATAAAAAGGATGTTGATTACATCTGTAATATTAAGAGGAAGCTACACTCAGATGCGTTGTCTCCATCTGAAAAATTTACACTATAGCAAAAACAGTTTTGAGTGGGATAACTTTACTACTTCTGTATTTATAGCATAATTACCAAAATTCCACAACGCACAGGGAAGAGCTTTCACTGTGTAGTAGCATTTTTGCTAATAGAATGACATAAATAAAATTAAAGTTATCAGTTTGAGAATATTGTTTTTTTTTTATTTCATCATTTAATTATTAAAAATTATTGGTTACCTAGTTCTATCAAAAAAATTAAAAGGCTACAAATAATGTTCTTCATTATGTTGTTGGAATTTTTGTAATTTTACTATAAATTCAGCGGGAGTAAAGTTGTCCCACGAAAAACAGTTTTTGCTATGTTGTACATTTGTAAGACAATATATACAGGTTTAACATCCTCTTAACAGTATACTTTAATCTATAAGCAACATAATTAAATAATATTCAATACAACCTACAACATACTTAATAATATTATTTAATAAATATAATTGTAAAAGTAGGAGTTGACTTTGTTACCAGGCTAAATATATCATATATAGACGCATTTTTATTATGGACTGCACACGTATTATGATTGCATGATTTAGAATGGAAAAGAATCTCAGCCGACAGTGATTTTTAAATTTATTTAGAAAAGGAATTAATTATTAGTATTGTTTTGTTAACATAGATATCTATATTATACTATATTATAATATAGACATCTGATTAATTAATAAATTGAAGTGATAATATGCACTGCCACTAGCGGCCATGACACCTGCGTATCATAAAGTTGCGATCATTACTATATATTTTTCCATGATTTGGACTTTTTAATTAGGAAACAATTATTTATCTTGCTCACTCACTATAACTGAACAAATAGTAGGTTGTTCATTGTAAATAGATGTTAAGGTTATATAGTTTTTTTTTTTTAGGCCCCACAGTGGTAGAAAAAAAATAGCAAAATACTGAGAATCCCTGTTGGTAAGAATATTTGGGCTTCACCCATCACTTTTCAGAAGTCAGACTATAGTAGATAGTAATAGTAGTAAACAAGAACTTGGAACTTCAGGTAGGTATTTGGATATTTCAAAAACTTTTAAGAAATCCGATAATTTGTTTCATATTACATCCAACTCAAATCCAAAAATGCATGTTGTATATTTTTACATTTTTTAACAAATTAAAAATGTCTATAAATCTCATATTTTGTGAAAATGTTAATCATAAAAGAAATGTAGTACCTATAGAAATAAAGAGTATTTAAGCCCTCGAGGCCATCTATATTTACTAATTATTTTTTATTGTTTAGGTATGTATAATATATTATTTAATATTTAATTGAGAAATAAAATATTTTGTTTCTATAGTAATATTAAAGTTTACTTAGGTATTACATAACTTTTGAATAGTTACACATTGTTTAAGTTAAATCTCGTACAACTGAATATGTAAACGATAAAAAAATTGCATAGGTATTATCTGGAAATTTATGATATTTTAGTGTACATGTATGCAAATATGTCATTGTATTTTAGTATATTAAGTGTTATACACCCCATCTAAATTCAAATTAACTAACTATATTTAACTCAAAATAACATTTTAATTGTAATATTTTGTGTGACTACTCAAATTTAATTATGTTAACATTTTTAAATAATTGTTCTAATTGAATATTATAAGAAGTGGAAATATATTTGATATTGTTATAAATTCCTCTATAATTTATAAACAAATAAAACAAATTAACTCGATATTTTTAAACTAATTTTATATATTTTATATCATTAATAAAATAATTAATCAAAAAAATGTATTTAATTATTATTATAAAATATGTCAGTTACACATAAATTAAATATGAATGAATTAGGCATATGAATAATTAAAAATTGTTATTAATAATTTAAAAGTAGATAGAATTTTTATTTGTAAGTACCCACATCAGATTTGGCACATACAAGTATTTGATATAAAAGTAATAAATTATTTACTGTCAAAATTAAACTGGAATTTAGAAAGTGACATTACCTTGCACTGATTTTGCTCAAATGGAATAAATTGAAACATACTTCGAAGTTTTTGATCTGCATCAGTGCTGCATTCATATAACTCATTCCATACAAGCACAGCAGACGCACAATGATAACATACTCTTTTAGGTAATAAATCATCTTCAGAAATCTATAAAATATAAAAATCATTAATGATAATACATTAAACAGTTAATAAACATTTTTATTATATATAATTAAAATTAAAATGTGTACACTACATTTATAAATGGAAGATGGGTTTTTATTTTGTTTTCTAACATATGGTCTGCTCCTTCATCAGCATAAATTGGTATCATATTTTCATCAAAATTTGCACATAATCTGCATACATCATTTATTGAACATGATTGCAGACTTATATCTTGATTATTAGCCATATTAGCTTCGTTCATTTTGATTTTGATTCTTAATGATTAACTAAACAATAAAACAATAAAATATCAACATTAGATATAACAATTATTTTATATGTACCTAAGGGCTAAGGCACATTTCACAGTTGCTCTTATCATTCATTCATACGCTATAGTATTTTCATCAGCCTATAGTTTATATACACCTGTGAAATGAGTCTAATACGCAAGAAATCTAGTAACGTCACTGTAGGTACCCATCTATTTATTAACACTAATAGGTACTCGGTACCTATACTTTCATTATAAAACCTAACAATTAAGTTTTATCTGCGGTTTTTTTAAAAAATATCTCTGTAAATAATGTATACATAATTGTAGAGCACCCCCAACCCTCCCACCACTTAGATACTATCGGGTATTATTTTCAACAAGCTTGTTTCTAAATAACAATATGTAAAATCAGTGGCGGCTTATGGTGTGCAATTATTGAAAAAGTTTATTTAAAAAAAAAATTAGTCTGTCTTAAGTATAAATGTAATTAGGTAGTAAAATATTTATTAGCATTTTTAATTTTGAGATTATACAGTTTTAGAAAATTATATTACATATTAGTTAGGTACCATGGCCATGACTAATAATATTAAAATAGAAAAACGGTGGAGTTACAAATTAAAGCCAGTGCAGAGCGGCATGCGCTGCATTGATATCTTTCTCCGTGTGTGTGTTTATCGCATGCGACCGCCCGACGAGTGTGCAGTGGGAGCTGCACACCAGTCACATATAATTGCCGATTCCCCGCTCGACAACCAAACGTATTTTACACAGACAGACGGTTTTCAGACCGAGCTGCACACCAGTTGATGAGTATTTGTTGCATAGCTCGATTACATTTTAGGAGTATAATAATAATTGTCGTTTGTTTGTTTTTAAAATATAATTTTTTTATATAATAAATACAGTTTAACAGATATTATATTAAAATTAATTTATTATTATACATTTTCACTATTATATCTAATTAATTTATGTGATGTGAGCACACCTAGGCACGAGCTGCCACTGTGTAAAATAACCTAGTTGAAACAATGGGAAAATGTGAAGATATCAATCATATGCTATTATCATTATTAATTTGTACAATTGTCAAATATACCTATGTTTAATTCACCAAATTGAAGATAAAAAAGTTAATTTTGGATGGAGTACTAAAATGGGATATGAGGCCTACCTATCTAGGTAATAAAGATTTGAACAAATGTATGGATCAAGTTATACCCACATGTTACGTATAATGAATAATGGATAAAGATTAATATTCTTTTCTGTAAATTTGGTTAAAGGTCAATTCATTCCAACATTAAAACTAACATATTAAATGCATAGTAACAGACATAGGATACTCGCCTCAGTGGGTACTTAATTAATAGGAATTTTTATCATATTATAAGAGAAGAAGACCTCCAAAAAAAAAAAATATATACAAGGAAAAAATATCTACAGTACCTATCTAATTAAAAATATGGAAAATATTTGAAAGAAAATATATTCATAGTTATAATGTCCATATAAAATAAGCGTGTTACGACATTTGTATTTTCATATTTTTTTAATCGACACATAAATGACAGCATAATACAGGTAAATGAATATGAATAGATTACATTGTGACATTGAAATATAATATATTTAAAATACTGCAATGGATAGGTACCTACTATTTTTAAGCACTCATGATTATTACCTACTGGCTACTTTAGGTACCTGCCCAGTTATTTTTAGGAATGTTATGCATAATGCATTAGAGTATAAATGTCATGCTAATTAGCAATATAGATAATGTATAACTATTATTTATTTAATTAAAAATTTTAAATGATAGGTAGGTATTAAGGTAAAGGATAATAATATTAAGCCGCGTCCACACTAGAGCACGCACAGACCGAGCATGTGTACTAGAGCACGCAAGAGCGATTTTGACGCACGGCGAACGCGAGCCGATCTAGTCGGCTCGCGTTCGTTTTGCGTCGTGAGATGCTCGGTTGTGCGTGCTCTAGTGTGGACGCGGCTTTATACGCATGGATATTTTTTCGATACTTTGTTGCCCGGATACTTAGGGGTAGGTAGTTTTGGCATAGATTTCTGCATTAGAATTGTGTGGAGTTTTGTGTGAACACTGCCCGCCCATAGAAGCAGCTTGTGACTATACACCCATGTTCTCAGAACGGGCATTGAATAATCGCAAATTTAAATCAGTTGTTAAACACCCGTACCTATCCACCCAAACACCCAAATATTCCAAACCGGGCGCCCGGCAGTATCTACAGCCGGACCGGGTTTGGAGTGCGGCCACCGTGGAGTGGCCAGTTTCGGGCGTGGGTGGTAAATATCGGGAACGCCAACGTGGAAGGCGATAAGTGACGTGAACGGGACAGGAAAAAACATAAACGACAAATATCTTTAACGAGTACTCACCTGGAATCCGCAGTCCCCGATCGTTGTCGGCGGGCCACCCGTCAATATGCCGAGCTAGAGGTTCCGTAGCTCACGTCATGCCTGCGTCGTCGGACACTGTTCATAGTTCGTATCTCAACAGACATCGGATACGAGGAACAGCGCTACGCAGCGGCGTTGGTTATTGATTGATTGAACGTAATCACTTAACGAACATTCGTAATATTATTGGAGCGTTTGTCTGCCGTTGTTACGGCGGCGGCGTTAAAATGACTACGCGCGTGGTGCGGCCGGTTGGCCGAGACGGTCCAGTAACGAAAGCAGGCTAAATATGGCGGACAACCGTACGAGTGATGTTGTTACTTGTTACGGATGGCTTTGCGAGGGGATGGCGGTATGCATTGGCTGCGGCGGCGTCGACACCTCTTGTTGTGAATTTGTGATGCTATTAAAGATTGGTGGGTAGGGGGGGGGGAGTTGTGGCGGGACTAACCGCGACTGGCGAGGCTGGCGCGCAGGCTGGTTTGGTGACGCCGTGACGGTGATGGTGATGGTTGTGGCACTGGCGTAGTGGCGTCTGGCACTGGTAGTGCAGATGTGGTTACGTTTGATGGCCGGCGGGGAGGGGGGGACGCGTAACCGTGTGTAAGTGAGTAACCGGAGTGCTAGTGACGGTGACCCGTCGGTTCGCGTTTACAGGCCACCACCGTTAACCGTTCGGTCAACGACAAGTGTTCCACTCTTATAGCCGACATGCCGTATGTCATTGGTCGTGGCTGGCAGCTGCGTATAGCACATTACTCATTAGCATTTAGCACAGATATCGATGTTATATAAAAATGATCCCACATCCCGCGACCCGCCGTTACTCGCTAGCCGTAACTTGTAAGCAGTGTTTGGAATAACTAAAAAATTATCTAGATAAGATAAGATAAATTTAACAAATTATTATCTAGATAAAATTAAAGATAACATAAATGTAATTTATCTAGATAATAAAGATAAATACAACAATACATTTATCTAGATAAATATCATTTTTTTACACATATTTTTATTGTTTTTTAGTATTTTAAATTTTTGTAATATTAGATCTATATAAATATAATGTCATAATATTTATAATAACGGATTGAACCTTTGAAATACAGTTCTACGAAGTTCATTTTAATTTATTTTTATAATGGATGGGGAAATAAACCTATACCCAATTAATTTTAATATGCTCATTATGGCTAGTAGTGAACGATGTACCTACAGTGCAAGCCCAAATGCATGTTCTCGTATTATCGTAATACCGTCGATGGCAATAATAACAAGAAATATATTCTTTTAATTTTATAAATAATTTATATTATATTAGAATTTTAGTAAAATTGGTTTTATAATTTTGTAAGGGCACTATAATATTTATCTAGATAAGCCCATTTTTTTATAAGTTAAACATTAGATAAATCATAACATAATTATCTAGATACTTTAAAAGATAATTTATTTCAAAAAATCTTATCTAGATAATTTATCTAGATAATTCCCAATACTGCTTGTAACTTGTAAGGCAGCACTATCGTTATAAATTGCTCCATTCCTCCAATAAATATCAAAAAAACTATAATAGAAAATGCCAAATGGTATTATGAAAATATATGAGTTATGATTTATGTCTCATGGCATCAATGCAGTGAACGAGCAACGACAAGTAATAGCAATGTGATGAACCTTTTATAATATTTGCCAATATGTAACGATTGTTATAATAATATATAAAATATTAAAATTGGCATGTTTTTGTAACAACTACCCATTTACTTAATACATTTTTATGAATGGATCGAAATTGTAAATTAGATAGCGTGACGTACCTATCTTTTTCATATTTCTCTACAGCTCAATAAATCATATTTATATAGATATGTATTAGTGGGAAAGGGGGTGGTTAAAATAAATTGCAAATTGCCTGATTTCAAAATAAACTGAGAAATACAATAATTATAATATTATAGTAGGTACCTATTATAATATGTAATTATACATATAAATGTATCAATTATTGATTGGGGGATGGTTTCCCCCCCACACACACACCCTTAGCACGTTACTGCATACAAGTCGAGTGTAGTAAAAATTTAAAAATTATTTCGATTCACTATCATTTTGAACCTAACGGCAGAAAACGTGAATTTCTGATCATAAATTTGATATGTTACTCGTTTATAAGGCGGAGACAACCATAGACGTATAAACTATAATTATATATTTATATGTCTATGCTCTATGGAGACAGCACATGCGGCCATGCGGGTGTGGCGTCCTCTTAAGTGCAATCAGTATCACGTAGGTACATCGTTATTGACACATCAGTAACGTTTAACAATATTGTTTAAGTCATGATTTAACTAACGTTAACTACCCGCATTTTGGATTAATAGATATCGTTATTATCTACGGGACCAGACTTCCGAACACAAACAACCTCATTTCAGAGCAATACTGTTGTTGTTGTGGTTGTTAATTGTTATTGTGAATTCGTAACCAACAGCAGCAGTTGTGTTGTGTAATGAGAATTGTGTGTTATTCACACGATTAAAGATATCTTTAATCGTGCTATAGAGCGATGTGCAACCTGTATATCTTTAATCGTGGTTATTCAGTGTAATCACAATCATTGATAACGTTTAGTAAGTTTGATAACTGATAATAGCGAAAAAATGTATTATTTAAATTTTTTGAATCTATGACTGACTAATTAATAATACCTATTAGTAATAAATACAATACACATTAAGTACTGACTAATAACTGTCACATATTATTTTAAGCTCATCATTCACCAATAGGCAATAACCATCAATCATCATTGCTCAATTATGTTGACAAACCACAAAATATGATTACGCTATTACAGTGCCACAGAGGTAAGGTTCACAATTTTGATTAAAATATAAAGAAAAACATCACTATATACATCACTTGACACTTGTTCAACATTTGATGGGCATAGGCAGCTAATGTACTAACATGCTTAGGGCCGTTCTTACAATGTCCGGTAAAGTGTCGGTTAACGCTAACCGACTGATAACAGATTTTATTACCGGCAGAATTCTTCCGGTTAAGTGTCGGTTAACTTTAACCGGACGTCGTAAGAACGGCCCTTAATCGTATTTAAATATAAGTAGTGCAACTTTTGAAGTATAGATAATACAGATATTTGTATCACAGTCGTTTGGACACACTTGCCCGGTTAACAAGAATAATATTAAGACTAAATGTTTGAGTTAGGTACCCATAAAAGCGTCAATCCTATGCATAATCCTCTCTCATTACTTACATTATGTAAAAAATACCTTAATTTGGTGTTTAAGACTTTATAAAATGGGTAGGTACATGTTGGTAGACATAAACGAAACTAGAATATTTTAATTAGGACAGTCCAAAAGATAAATATGAAAAAAAATTATAATTACAAAATATGTTCTTAATTTAAATTTTAAATTCTATGAATTCAGTATGTTTTCTGGACAGTCAGCCTAACCCGTAGTTTTACCTATTTTTGTGAAAAATTGTCTTACAAAACAGTACTTCATTCATTAGGTCAATCTACAAATTATTGTTTTGCAACTAGTTTACCTTTATATTAAGAATAATTTTTAAAAAAATTAAAAAAGATAGGTAAGTATTTAAAAAAATTCCATTCAAACTAAATATAGAGATAATTTCAAAATTATTAAGTTCAAATTAATTTCCTAAATAAAATTAAGGTGGGTAGGTACCTTTATTATGTATCTGATAATATTAATATATAAATGTGTGATAGATATAAAATGGACGATTAAATTGATGTTAGCATATTATTAGCAATACATTGTTACTTAAAAACTTAAGTTAAATTCATTAAATAGTTTTTATTGATTAATAAAATATACATTTGTAAAAGAGCAATTCTATTAATATGGTTGACCTCCAAAATCATAATTCAGTAGAGCTTAATAATTTGACTATCTAATTGCTAATATTCTCATCTGACATATTAAATTACTTTATTTATAGCCTTTAATTTACATACCTACTATTAAACTAATGTATGTATGAATACCTGTACTATAGTATGGGCCTGATTTCTTAGAAAATTAATCTAAAAATGACTATTACAATTCATCAAAAAAATATTCAATGTTATACAAATATATATTACTAGATTTTTAAATGCAAAATATAAATAATGTGTTTTATGAAGAATACTAATTAAATAAATCCAATATTAGAACATCATGATTGTGTTTTATGAGGATTTTTTTCGTCAAAAATAATTGTTTTGATTAATGTCCCATTATGCATTAATTAAATAACTTCATCGGTCATCACTTATTTTCTTTGCAATTATGTCACATAATTTTGTCAACCTAAAATTTGTATTCTTTAGTGTCGTCATTTCTTGCGAACGTTTACATTTATTTTTCTTAACCTTATTATTTATATTACACATATATTCTGTTAACTCATTAAGGTTTCTTTTTATTTCCTTTACTATTATAGTAGGCCGTTCAAAGTCATATTCAGATTGAATACTTGAATTACAAAATGAATTACTAGAGCATTTGGTTAGGCTATTTATATCAATATCTTTTTTAATTTTTTGCATAACTTTTAACCATTCATTAGTATGTTTCAAACAATTTTCTAATAATTCACTAAGCTTATGTTCATTGTAATCATTTAATCTTAAAGATTCTTTGCTTTCTTTAATTGATTGTTCAACTTTTTTTTTTGCAGTGTTTAATTCATTCATATTCATTCCTTTTTTACAAAATTCTTCATGTTTATTATTAATATTTAATCTGTTTAATAATTCTTCGCATTTACTAAGGGTATTATGAAATTGTAATTCTTGTTTGTCTATTATATTGTTAAATTGATTATTATCTTTTTCATTAATTTGATTTATTCTGTCATTTTGTTCTTTTGGTGTTTCATATATATTCCCTTTTTCCTGGCTCATTGTATCACTATATTTTCTGTATAATTCTATAAGTAAATATGATTGTAATAATAATTATTAGTTGTAGATAAATTATGGTAAAAGTACAAATACCAATGAAACCTAAAATGTACCAACTGTTGCTATTACTGATTGGTTTATGAAATTAGAACTTAAAACTTTCTGATGACTTAAAAAAGGAAATACTACCTTACTTTGATATTTTGTCAAACTTCCTACATATTTTTTAAAATATTGTCTTATATAATAATCAATATCACGATAGTCAAGCGTACAGAATAAATAATAGATAGGTGTATCTATTGTAATAATTTAATTTAAAAGCTCTCAAAAAATGTCTTTTCAACACAATAACTTCTTTAAAAAACTGTATATTTTTCCTCTTTAAGGAAAATCTATTAATCATAAATATTTTTTTTTTAATAAGTAACTATGACAGGGAAAACCTTAAGAAAAATCAGTCAGGTACATTTTTTTATCGTGTATCCATCCCAAAAACATATGTATGTTAAAATTAGTAAAACAAATTTATAGTCACACAACTACCCAATAGATAGAAAAACAATGGTTTTAATTTCACCATTTTTAACACGTCATTATCTTAACTAAACTAACAATGATACAAAAACTAAATACCAAACTTGGGCACCGGTCTAGTAAAGTACTTGAGTAAAGGTGTTCAAATGCTTTTTAAGTAATCAAATACATATATTAAATATACTTTCACGAAGTATTTTTATTTAAAATCAAATAATTATTCTTTTTAGTTTATATTTTTTATATTTCAATTTTCATCATGTAAAATAAAAATAAAAATAAATAATATGTTTAATATATTTTTTTTCTGTAAATAGTTGCACTCAACCAAAAACTCAAATACTCGAAATGGAAATAGATGATTATTTTAATTTCCACTAAATGATATGGTGTAAGATACTTTATAAAGTTTATATAAAACATGAAAATCGGTTTAATTAATTTATCGATTAATTTATAATGTTAAAAATATAATTTATAAAAATATGAAAATATTTTAAAGTATCTATAAATCATTTTACAAATAATTATCTTTTACAAGACTGTTAGGCATGCAGAAATGCACAATAAATAAACAGTAACTTATACTGGAAACAAATGTGACCGGGATGTATCTCCAACAACTCCAATTGAACAAATAGTTGTTAATTTTCTTTGATTCCTAGTAAGACATTACCTATATCAGATAATTTCTGGAGATTGATAAAGAAGTTATGCTTTCTTATATGGAATAATTAACATTTAGTACAGATGAAAAATACTTATAAATTATTAAAACAAATATTAAGAAATCAATATTTCTTTATATAATATTTTGAATTTCCTAATTGACCCTAAAATCTTGTACAATATATTGATACATACATTAAAAAGTGATAAAATGACCTAGAAATGCAAAAACTGCTCTAAAATTAATTTAATTGAGAAATTCATAGTACAATTTTTACCTTTGAAGTACCTATCTATTACGTGTAACTAAATTTGTACTTAGAATGTAATATACATTGTTTTAGAGCACCCAAAAAATAATGCAGTTTGTATTAAAATGCAGGCCCTAATGGTATTATTCTTTGTTTATTTAAACTTTTATTATGTTCAGATTTCGTTTAAAATAATTTTTATAATTAAATTTATAATTTAAAAAAATCTTTTAATAATTTGGAATTTAAACAAATTATTTTTTATATTCTAAAATTAAGGGGATTCTATAATATTGTTTTTTTTTTTTGGTATATAATAGACCAATGCATTCCAACATACTTGAGTCTTACACCAATTATAATTTTGAAAACAGTTTTTATTTTGTTTTTATGTCAGCTTTAGGGAGCTTCTAGGATCCACTTTCAAGCCACATATTTAGTTTATTATTCTCCATAACAGAATATTAATATTAATATAATACTAATCATAACAGGGTTAAATGGATTATTCAGAACTTACAATTTGCCATGTTATACGTTTGTAAGACAGAGACAGCACATGCAAGTGTAGCATAATTTTAAAATATAAAATCTCTTGAAATTTAAAAAAAAATCTTGTAGTTTTAGAAATATTAATGAAAAAAATACAGTTTTAAAATTTGTTCAAAATAGACCTCATAATAAATTCAAATAATATGTTTTCAACATTATTATTGGAATAAAACTCAAATCAAATGTTTGAACGCCTATAGGTAGAGTGCTCCAAAAAACAATATTGTGGAATCCCCTTAATAAGACCAATTGCTTAGAACCCATAGTGTGTAAATTTTAGGTTTTAAGAGGATTCTTACTTTTACCTTAACAAATGAATAACTATTAGAAAATTACAAAATATTATGTAGATTTGTTTATATTTAAAAGTTACTAACTAATAAAACGATTTTAAAAATACATTTTAACTTTTATTTATATAAAAAAAAATGATTTGAAATTTGTCAGATGGAACCTTTTAGTGTTGATATCAAAATATACACATATTTTAAATTTGATAAATTTACCATAGCTATTAAATTGTGATAATACTCTTACTGAGAATAAAAAAAGAATATCCTTCTGATCAGAATTTAAATTTCTAAGACAATAATAAAAACAAACATTTTTAGTGGATTTACCCCTGCATGTGTTGCCTCAGTCTTATTAATGTACAACATAGCAAAAACAGTTTTTGTGGGAAAGAACTTCAGTCATAACTAAGAAACGAGATTTTCACCACAAAAAGAAGATCTTTGGCTGTGCAATGTCGTTTTTATTTTTTAGATAACACTTATGCGAAAAAGTTCTAATTGTTTCAAAAACCATTATTGTTTGTGTTTTCAAACTTGAATAACTTTTTTCATATGAGTGATATCAAAAAAATAAAAACAACATTGCATATCCAAACTTCTCCTTTTTAGGTGGTGAAAATCTAATTTCTGAGTTATAACTATAAAAATAATTAAAACTAAAGAATGCAACATTTTAAATATTAATTTGTTTTTAAATGATCTCTTTACTCATATTTTAATGAGGTGTATCCCAAAATATTACTATCAATCATTCCATCTTAGTATTTCATATTTTTTAAATAGTATAATGTATTTACCTATTGTACATATTGTACATATTAATTTATAATGATTTATAATAATTTTTAAATTTAAAATATGCAAGTTTACCTATGTAAGAATATATTATTTTAAAATTATTTATACTATACACAAATAATACAGATATACATAATCACAATAAATATAATTAAAATGTTTTAAAATATTAGGTTTGTTTTTCTACAACTTAAAACCAATTGGTATACAATATAAAAATCTTAAAATTGAATAGTTATGTTTTGGATAATTTTTATAATTATATTGCAAGTTTTTTTTGAATTTATTAGCTTTATCTTTATTTTACAATTGTCATTTTTCCTACAATCATAATTATAATGTACTTTGTCAAAAACCCCGTTAAAAACACTTCATTTATTTTCAGATAAAAATGTATAGTTACCTACTATGGTGGAATTTGGTTCTTATCTATAACATATTTACTTAATAATACCTACTTTCAATATATTACTAGGTAATATTGAGTTTTTTTTAAAGATATATTTTTTATTTAATTTATGGTATTTTATCTATTTTTATTCAAAACGAGTTTGTTTTTTGACTATGTAAATTATATTAATGTAAAATACCTATATGTATATTATATATTATAATTAATTTACTTTTTACTTATTTTTATTATGTATTATATTTTATTATAAAATTGTAATTACCATATTTATTGAGTTCTAATGGTGGTTTTGCGGTATTAATTTCTTTGTTATTGAATGTGGAGGTTTTTTTGAAATCTTTTATATTCTCAAATTCTATATCTTCTTGTATTATTAAAACAATTACAAGTTCAATGTAGCTACTAGTACCAAGAAGTTTGTAACCTCTAATAGATACATTTTGATCCCAGTTACGTCCTATTATTTGAAATTCCTTAAGCTTAATTATTACATGTCCAATTCTTTGCCTCCTGAATACATTTCCAAAAAATATTTTTTCCGACGTTCTAAAGCATTCAACCTTAACAATCGCATTTGTTGAACGACCATATTTTAGTGTAGTTTTGTCAATTTTCCATATGAACTCTTCATAAAAGTTTAATCGATTTCTACATGCCGGTAGAGATTTAGATTTTTTAGTTTCATTGAAAACTGTTATCTCAATTTCAATTTGACCTTCAATAAGCTCAAACCCAATTCCATATTGAATGTTCACAATTGCATTTAAATCATCTGACTGTAACTTATTCATTTCTATTTTTTGATAATTAACAAAGTATAAAGAATGTTAAAGTGTTAAATTATTAGAAACTTAAACATTTTTGTCAAACAAATTACTTATATATTACTTTGATTATGGACAAAAAATATTTTTTACTAATCATTTAATACAAAAATAAGAATTTGCATTATGTGTTTGCATAATTGACATAGAGATAAGGTTGTCATAATGTGTGGATTTTTTTTTTTATATTATTATTAATATTTATTTTACCAAAGACTGTGCAGACCATTATTAACTAGATATTCTTTATTTCTCTATGGACATTATCAATATTGCCACTTGTTTTTTATTAAATATTAATATAACATTCGGGTTGCATCACAGATTAAGATATATCATAGTCCATGGGTTGCATTAATCAATTCATGAATAGTAAGCTAATGGTCCCTTAAACATGATTGGTCCATTAAGTTTTAGTGAACCATTAATGTAATAAATAAATGTAATAAATGTATATATTAGTATACCTATTATTATATTATGAATAGGTATATCGGTCTATGATATAAATAATATATAATATAATAAATTATATGCTGGGTTGTGTGAACAACTACTTTTCATTTGATGAGTCAATAGTGAGCTAATAGTCCCTTAAACATGATTTAGTGGCCGATGATTGGTTCATTAAATTTTATTTAAAAATTAAATCAATCAATTTTTCATGCATCCTGGTAGGTAATAGTAAATAGCAATACAACTCTTACAGATAATTTCATAAATTATTGATAAAATTAATGCATATTAAATATTATTTCTGTAGATCATAGTTTATGACCTTTAATTATTACTAGACTATAATATCTAAATTGATAGGGCTTACAATTAATGTATAATATTATATGAATATTATGAATTTTATTATCAGATATGTCAACAGTAATATATGGTAATATTATCTATCACATATTCTGTTATTAGGCTTCTAGATTTTTGATTACCTAGTTTTATAATCCTAATATTATAATGGGATAATTATAACTTTACAGACTTTTTTTATACGTATCCAAAACGTCCTAAACAATTTCAGTCCAAGTACATAGACCAGCTTCGAGGGCGGTGGTTATGCCCATCTATATTCATAGGAGCAGCTTGGGTTAAAATTCTGGGGGCGAACAAAACTATTTATTTAAAATAACCCATGAGGGCTTATATCTAAATCAAAAAGGGATATTTTTTTTTTTTGGGGGGGGGGGCTAAAACTTAGTCTGTGGGGGCCTAAACTTAGTCGGTGGGGGGAGGCATACCCCTCACCACTAGTTGCGCCAATGTCTATATTGCCAAACAGAATGTTCAAAGACCTAATATAAACACAAAAAAAAACAAATGAAGCATTGTTATATCAGTATCATATTATTATTAACTAAAATGTTTTGAGATTCTGAGTGGAGCTAGTGGTTTTACAACGGTTTTTATTTATTTATTTATTTTTTTATATCCTTTATATAAAATTTCTACCAGAAGGAATCCTTTGGTTTCCACCTATAGTATTTTATCTTTTAGTAAATTGGATCAAGATGGTACTTTAGAGAGGTCATTTTTCGATTTTATTAATAGTTATTTAATGCCAAGGTAAAAACCCCCGAAAAATTACGAAAAACCGCTAAAAATTGGATTTTAATTTCTAACGCTTTGTTTATTATCATAGAAACGAATAAAAATTAAAAAATAATAATATTATAATATTACTTCAACTTACTTGATATAATAATTAATGACAATATTAAATATCTAGTCTGGTAAACCGTTTCCGCTCAGAATCGTTTTTCTTATACAATGATAAAATATCATTGAATTCAAATTTAATACAATCTATTATACATTGACGCACATGTAATCTAATGTACAGCAGAGCGACATCCACTTACCTGCTTTTTATAAATTGTTTGTACAATTCAATAAAATGGTTTAATGGACTAATAGATGATAGATCAATCCAACATCATTAGTTAAATTAAATAAATCATTATATTTTTCATGCAGTATAATATTATTTATGAGGTACCATACTATATAATATTAAGTATTTATTATTTATAATATAATAATATATTAAATGTTGACATTTATTTTGTTGATACAGTTTTAATGAATATTCCATCTTTTACTATACTTCATTTTGGATTTTGAATGAGCAATGGATTTCAATTTTGAAAATTGTATTAAAGAAGGCTTGAAAAATTTGACAAGTAAGTATTCCTTACCTAATTGATGTAACTTTATAATATTTGTTTATTTTAAAGGGTGATTTTTTAAGCATGGTCACCTTATATTTATGCTTAAATCAAATTTTTTTGGAATTTTTAAATTAATTTGAAGACTTTATTTTCGAATACTTGAGATTTTTGTACCACTTAATTATCATCTTGTGGCTATACAAACTTCTGTTTTTCAAATAGGAACTACTAAATAGTTTTCAGTAAAAAGGGGGTTTTCATTTGAAAAATAGAAGTTTGTAACCCAACCTAACCTAACCTTATGTAATAAGACAAATGGGTGTGAGCAATGAGCATGCTTAAAAAATCACTCTGTATATTATGTATCATTCATTGTGTAGCAGATATTTTAGTAAACCTATAAATAAATTAATATTCATAATGTGTTTATAGTTACACCTGCAGCTAAAAATAAAAATGAAGAAGAATATTTCAAAGAAGTCATGCAGCAAGATGACACAGGAGTTGTTATACTTAAGAGATTATCTGGTAGTGATCTACCAATATTTTATATACCAGTAAGTATAAATTGGTTTTTTATATCACCATTATAAAATAATCTTTTAAAATGTTAAAATATTAGCTGTAGTTTATTTTGTATGTAAAAGTAATAGTTTTGTATATATTTTAGCAAATTACCGAAGAAGTCAATGTTTTTAAAGCTCAACTAAGAGCTGAAGCACGCGGTCGTTTTTTTGAAAGAGAGCTGTCAAGACTATTAACTAGTGAAGAGTTAAAAGTAATGATATTACTTAATATTAATACATACAATTGTTTCATATTTTTAATAGAATTTTATTTAATAATTGTTGTTCTTGAATATATATTTCCATTTTTGATAAAAAAAAAAACTGATTTTGATATTATTATTTATATCATATAGTATTACAAATTATCAAATAGTACACTATATTGAGAACAATATTTAAAATTATAAATACAATGTTTTTGAGCATACCTTATTTATTATTTAGCAAGTGGCAAAACCTGAAAGAAAATAAATAAGTGTTAACCATTTCAATTGTACCAAAATTATAAAATGTGATAAAAAACAATAAAAGTAGTTGAGCACCATGTGTTTCTCGATTAGCACATACAACTTCTTTGAGTCGCTCGTACCAAAAAAAAAAAGAACTTAGCCTATTTATTTTGGTATTTCTGTTCCAACTATAATAAATGTTCCAACATTTTTGTCTTATTATGAAATGATAATCAGAATTCAATAAGTAAGTTGTGCTTTCAATTGCTTAATCTGACAGTCATCTGGTAGTATACACCATATTGCTTAGTTCAGTAAAGTGATATTTAGCTACATATGCCTTTTACCAGTAGGTATATAAATCATAAAAACTTCATTAAATGTTTAATGCCTGACATACCTTCTAAAATAACTGATTTAATTTGTTTCAGTATATGTGGTCATTGCTTCAAGAACATCAGACATCATTGAATGATTTTATTCATAACCAGTACATAAATTATAAAAGTTTTATTCAAGTCAAACAAAAATTAAATGATAAATACAAGTAACTATAATATTTCCTATGCATCACTATAATTTATTTTTCTTATTTATATTTTCTTCTTTATTTGAAGGATTTAATTAACATCATACTCTAAAAATAATGAGGGTTTTATATTTCAGATTGTTTTTCAACCCTAGTATATTTCTACAGTTACAAGACAGTAGGATGAAAGGTTATTTATCAATAGATACGTTCTTTAATTATATAATGAAAAAAATATGGATAGACCAAACTAGAAATGGTCTTTCTCAATATGATTCAAGTGGTTGTGGTTATTTAAGTGAAGCGGTAATTTGTTTTTAATTAAAGTTCTATTATTATCTTCAATCTCAATTGTTTTTAATGTTTATATAATGTAAATAATCACCAAATAATGTAGCATGCCGCCTATAAGATTTATATTTAAAAATTATAGTATAAAATCATCAGTTTCTGATTAAAAAAAAATATATTAATTAAAAATCCATAATTTTATATACATTATTTGTGTTAGTTTTATTACATTTATTTGATTATTTGATTTATTAACTGAAATATTGTTATAATTTTAGGATTTTGAAGCTTATATTTTAGATCTTATACCTACATTAACACAGTTGAAGAAATTAGAAAAAATGTTTTATTCATTTTATTCATGCATGGTTGTAAGAAAATTTTTTTTCTACTTGGATCCTCTACGAACTGGAAAAATACAAATAATTGAAATCCTATCTTGTGGTTTTCTTGATGAGCTCTTGGAGGTATAAATATATTAAATCAGTTGTTCTTAACCTTGGATACCTTTAAGATATAAAGTATGTATCCACAAACCCCCTTCCCTGACTAAAAAAATGTTTTTTTGATTATTATTCATTATTTTTATGTGGTTTAGTTTTAATTGTGACCAATATAAAAAAAACCAGACTCACCGATATATGTAACGGATAAGGGAATCAAAAATGGCATTGCCTTGAATACAGCTAGTATATGTCAATATACACCAAAATTAAATTAAGTTATATAAAATTGTGGTGTGGTTCTTTCGATCAATCTTAAATTATATTGTCTTTAATGTGGTCTGAATCATATATATTTTATAGTCTAAGTATCTACTAAAAAGAATATGCATATCCATCTTTTGTTTTTAAGTATGAAGAATTTAAATAAAAATTATATATCACTTATAAAAAGAATAATATAAAGAAAATTTTAATAACAGAAATTTATACTTGATCCCTAGCCATCACATAACTAAAATAATTTTTAAAAAAATCATAATTTTTGGGTTATTAGATATAAATGCAGATCCAGCTCTAAGAAAATCACTTAAACAACCAATTAAGAATCCCCATATTAAAGTTATCTATGTGACTATGTCTATTGTACACAATAGTACAATAGTATTAGTTAGTACTAGTTTGTGTTTAAGAAAATAATATAATCTGCTCCTATTTTATTTTTTTAGCTCCGCGAAGAAAATTGGAGCAAGGAATTACAGAAAAAAAATTGGTTTTCTGTTCCATCTGCTCTTCATATTTATTCATCATATTTAGAATTGGATAAAGACCATAATGGATTGTTGAGTCGCCAAGAAATAACAGGGTACACACGATTATTGTATTTAATATATCCATGAACGCTACATAATTAATGATGGTTATTTTTAAATTTTTGCTGTATAGAATGTTTATAAATAATTATAATAATAATGCAAATAATGATAATTTGAGACCAAAATTTAAAACAAAGTGCTTTTGGATTATTAGAAAAACAAATTATAGGCTAAACACTGTTAATATTGTTACAGTTATTTTTCAGTTTAAAATATTTTTTAAGATAATATTTAACCTTAATATATAAATACTTTATTTTTAATAATCACTAATATAATATTATAAGTAATTATGTCTTTATATTCACCTTACATAATCTACTCTACAGTAAAATAATCATAAAAATAATAATAAGGTCCTGTTTAAATGTGGTTTGTGGTAAAAATGTGAAATCTTACAGCTATTAAAACTAGAATATTAAATGTGTTTAAAATACTTAAAAGTTGTTTAAATTTTTTTAGTTAATCTATATTATTCACAATGTTGCTTCTACAACTATAATAAACAATGCATAACATAAAATTTGCTATCACTGTCACTATTTATGGCACAAATTTGCCATATAGTTAATATTATGGCTTGGATTTTTATGTATCAAAATATATCGAAAAAATATATATAAATAATATTATATTGTACTAAAATTTTCATAACATGTGATTTACTAATATTATTAATTTTAAATTTATGGCGTTATGAGTAGTTTCATTAAAAAAAATTATATTACAAAAACAGTACAATAAGTACAGTATCTTAAAAATTAAAGAATATATATTTATACATATATTAAAATCACAATCAAACAAAAACTGAATAAACCGCAAAACATGCACTATCCTCGTAATATGTTAACTTTTCAGATAGTCCTAATACTTTTTTTTAATACTTCAATAAGATGTCTGGTAATTCAACCAATAAAATGTTATCTAGAAATATGTCCTTAAATATAATAGTAGTTTAGTCTTAATTCTCAAAATATGTGAGAAAGTAATTATAAAATATGTAAAATAAACTGTACAAGGTAGTTAAATTAAAAATCATTTTTTTTTGCATTAGTTTATAAAGTCGTACTAAAAATATATATTTATGTATAAATCCAAGCCATAATTATTATTTCTATTTTTCAACCTAAATGGTTTTTACATTAAGGGTGTCAGTGCCGGTTATTCCAATTATCCGAAATTCTATACAATTTGAAAATCATATTTTATATTTTAGTTACTACCTTAATACTTTTTCACTAATCTAAAGCTTGATTCCTATTTAGAGGGGAGGGGGGGGAATCGATACGGTGTATTATATCAACAAAAATGACTTCACAGAAAAAACTATCACGCCCGATAAAATAGGCGGATTTTGTTAATTCTTTTTTTATTTAATAGATGAGAAAATTTTTCAGGTCGTCTCAAAGGCAGAATTTTCATTTTATTTTATATTGTAGTAGAAAAATATGTTTTAACAGAACAAATATTGTACATTATTCAAACGCATATTTTAGCTTCTATAATTATAATTTTGAAAATCGGACCTCAATCCGACCTGCAAAATGTTCTCTTCTTTTAAATAAAAAAAAATTATATAATTCGACTATTCTACAGAGCGTGAGAGTTTTTCCTAAAAGACATGTTTTAGTTTTAAAAAACGCACTGTCTCTGGCTCCTAAATACTGATATTAGCGTTCTACAAACATTTTTTTGGAGGAGTTTTGTAACATTTTGTCATTCATTGATGTAGCTTCATTTAATGTTAAAATATTATGTCTTAAATCTTTAACTGAGTGTACTTTTCCACAAAATTACAAAATCTTCAACAAAAATGTTCAACTTTACCCATGTGTATAAAGTTACATATCAGAATTTAAATGATTTATAATTTTTATTATTAATATAGTAATAACTAATACATTTATTAATAATTTGTATACAAAATTAAAATTTAGAGTTGTTAATAATGGTAAATTTTTTTATTATAGGTATAAATCAGGTGCTCTCACTTCAGTATTTTTAGATAGAGTGTTCCAAGATGCATTTACTTATGCTGGTGAAATGGACTACAAGGGTTATTTGAACTTTGTATTGGCTATAGAAAATCGGCACGAACCTCAATCTCTACGATATTTATTTAAATTTTTAGATATAAAGAATCAAGGATACTTGGATTCATTTACCATCAACTATTTTTCTAGGGTAATTTTTTTATTCATATTTAAGCATATGTCCAACTTGTTTTATTGATGTTTTTTCTTCAAATTTTATATGAATAAGTTTATTTTAGTCTATTAACTTAATTTCATTTTCTTTAGGTGTAGTTTAAAATCACTTGGTAATTTCAAACGCCTTTGTGAAATACATTTCCAATTATTTTTAATTATGATTGTTATTTAATGTTTTTAAATTGACTTTGGAAGTATATATCTTAAGTTAATAGGTTAATTTTAATTTTAATATTTTTTGGTGCCTATGGTACGAAACACTAATAGTCAAATATTGATAAGTTAAAATATTGATGATCTTATCGATGGCGAGTACAAAATATGAACAGGTTATATCAGTAGGCCATATTTTATGAGTTATAATTGTGTTGGACAATCAATCAATAGGTTAAATATGTTGAAAATTGAAATCCTTATCATAAATGATTGTACTTGATTGAACCTGTTGACATTTTTACTGACAATATTGTGATTACCTCCTAGTAGACCATATTTTTTTTGAGTTATAATATTGTTTAATGGTATTAAATATTGTAAGAATTAAATACAAATTAAATTATTTTGCATCAGACATTTCTGTTTTATGTTAGATGTTTAGACATTTTATAAATTGTTCTTAGAATTTGTTCTTTATTTATTGATTGATTTGGTTTTTGTAAAGACATCAGCTAGATATAGCATAGATATAGTATAGATACTTATGTGCTCTATAAGTATTTTAAATTAAATTTAAATTTATATTTTACGGTATTTGTGAATTTTTTTCTGTACTCTATTCAAAATAAGAAACGCCTATGGCGGCGACTAGTTTTTGTTGCTAATGGTCGGGCGACACCCAATTGTCACCCCACCGTATCAATTATTTGTACACCTGCCATGTAGTGCGCAGTAGCTGGCTACCGCAGGCATTTCTTATTTTGAATAGAGTATATAATCTCTAATTTGTATTACTATATCACACTAGCTAATTATATAAATACATACAAATTCTAAACTTACTGTTTTCAATACTCTAAAGAAGATGAAGTGATATTTCAAAGTTATTTAACTATACATTATAAATTATAATTAACATTTTATATTTATATATACATCAATAGTTATTAGCTATTTAAAATTATATTTTTTATTTTTTTATAAATAACTAATCTGTGCAGTTTGATTCGTTTTGGAAATGTAACTATTTCTTTTACAATAAATAGCTAAATAATCCCTATAATTGCTTATCATTAGCAACAGTTAGCTTACAATTGCAATACCTTACCTTTTTTATGTACTATGTAGGTGGTTTCTATCTTTTCTCGTTAATATTTTTTTGGTAATAAAGGCGATTAATTTTAAGTATATTTTTAGAAACTTGGAGAAAATCATCCATACCAAAATGTTTAATGTTTTATTTAAATAGTGCTTATACTACATTAAAGTTTTACTTATGATAATTTGATGTCTTATCAATTGGGTATATTTTATAGAAGTATATACATAAAAATTATGTGTATATAATATTAATGCCATAATTATATTTAACAGTGTACAAGCCTTGAAATATTGTTATTCATTTTCTTATAATGATATTTTTTTACAGGCTGTTGCCGACAGATTACCTAAGGAGCAACAACAGATGGTTTCATTGGAAGATATAAAAGATGAAATATTTGATATGATCAAGCCAGAAGATCCAAATAAAATAACTTTAAAAGATATTATACGCAGTAAGATGGGTCATATATTGATGAACATTTTGATAGATTTTAATGGATTTTGGTCTTATGAGTTCAGAGAAACTCTAGCAAATAATCGTATCCCTGACAATAACTTTAACGAAAGTTTTGTTACACATTAACGCATTACAAAATTCAATACATTTATAAAATATTAATTATAATAATATAAGTATTAAGTACATCATTTGTTTTTACATGCTTTTCTTTAACTCACAATGTTTCATTCATTTCTGTTGTCATCAAATCTTGCGAGTTCAATTTAAATCACTTCTACATGACCTAGGAGACTCAAATTTTGTATGGAGGTCTAGGGTCGGTGACAATACATGACCCATTGTCAATTCGGGGCTAACTCAAAATGTGGGGGGTGGGGGCTTTGGTTCCCTAATGGTTGAAATTCATCTGGGGCCTTAAAAACTGAAATACTATATTATTCTATACTCTATTCAAAATAAGATCAGGCTACGCGGAAAAGTTGTGCGCATGGGCGTGGCTTCACTACGAGCACGGACCTCGAACGGTTGATGTTGTTGTTGTCTGTTGACTATTATAATTATATTAATTCTTTAATTTAAAACCTGTGAATTACAAAAAACGAAAAGCATGGGGCACTTATGATAACTCCTATGTAAAGTCACTCTACAACTGAATCATTAGATAAACTTTATGATAAGTATTTTAAAGATTATTGATCATACTTCCAATTTTGTAAGAGATATTCTTGACTCATAGGAGCCCCACGCATTTCGTTTTTTGTAATTCACAAGTTTTAAAAATTTTGCAACAAATACATTTTAGATACACTTTTAGTAATATCTTTATAACATTGAAGTTTCATTAAGAAATTGTTTTAAAAGTAAGTTTATTTTCAACTTTAGAATTAAGAAAAGCATGTTTTTTAAAAAAAAAAATGTTTATTTATTTTTTATTTAATTTATTTATTTATAACATTCATGCCATTCTATACATGTATTTTATCAACCATTCAATGGTATTAATTGTATGGTAGAAGGTAGAATATATTCGTGTAAGTCATTTTTTTTACTAAGAATCTCAACATTAATGTTATGAATAAATAAATAAATATAAAAATATATACTATAAATTCTTACTATTGACTACAACCATATTTATTTTTAAATGTAAACACTGATATTTATTAATGTAATTTTGTTACTATTTTTGATAAGTACTTTAAGTTCATGCTAACTATTAGTATTTTCACATATCTCATAAATAAATAAATGTAAATAACTTGTACATAATTATGATAAAATTGTAAAAATGTTTTTAATATTATATACAAAGAGAACTGAATATTGCAACTATAATGATTTATGTTACCTAATATTATATTAATATTTCACCCGTACAATATTTCTATATTATTTAGGAAACCTAGTTGCCATTGTGTCTGCAGTATTTAATGAAACACTTATAAATTATAAATTGTAGTAATTTAATAGAAAATAAATAGTCCATGAAATTGTGGTTGTACTATGTACATATTAATACAATGTACATAATTATTATACTGTCTTATCTTTGACACAATATTATATTCTACATTTAAAACTAAAATATGAATAGGTCCATAGAGTTGTGTGATCTGTTGAATAAAAAACTGATGTACTTTATAAACTATATTTTACTACTGTTTCTATATCAAATATAGTAGTTATTCTACAATGGTGTATATTTTTTTTCTGAATATTGAATCTAATAACTAATTTTTGTTTAACTTGTATTTATAAATTACTAGCTGATCCCATGCACTTGGTTACCCGTTAAATGTACCAAATGTATATTACTCAAACTTTGTTCAATTCGTTATTTAATATTCAGTGTATGGTGTTCAAAATTTGTCTTAACTATTCTGCTGCCTGGGATAAAAATTCTGATTCGCAGCAGTATATTATCAGGTTTGCAATCTACCTGCAATAGATTGCGGACCCCGTGCAGGTTATACGTAACTTTATAATTTAACCCTACAGTGTCAAAGTTATACCAAGTATGTCACTGAACTCCTCCTAAATGGCTGGACTAATTGTGAATGCTGAGTCTGTCGACCAATATTTACGCAATTGCAATACATATCATATCAAAACACAGCGTACAAAAAAACTAATTGCATTGAATGAATACACTGATTTCATGGCAACCAATGACAAAAATGTCCACCTTAAATCTCTAAATCCCCGTTTAAGCACATCCCCTGATTGGACCTAGGGTGGTGATTTGTGAATCTAAATTATCCGGGGCGTCAAGAAAACGCATACAAAAAAATGCATTCACATCGGTTCAGCCATTTAGAAGGAGTTACTTCACAACACAAGTACAGTAGAGTTATTGCTCTTAGCAACACATTCAGCTATTCATTTTTAGGGTTTTGTAGCAAAAACCGGAACCCTTATAGATTCGTCATGTCTGTCTGTCTGTCTGTCCGTCATGGTGTCACAGTCACTTTTCTCTGAAACTATGTAAACTATGTGTTGAAACTTGGTAAGTAGATGTATTCTATAAACCGCATTAAGATTTTCACACTAAAATAGAAGAAGAAAAAAGGTGCTCTGCTGTACAGTAGGTTACAAGTGGGTCACTGTATAATGGATGGTATTAAATTTGAATTCAATGATATAATATAATTGTATAAGAAATACGATTCTGAGCAGAGATGGTATGTCAGTCTAGGTTTAAGACATATTATAAACATATCTATTTTATTAAAAAAAAAATTGACCTATAATAAATTCAAAATTAATCATATCACAATATCCATTAGGTAGGTACTTATAACACGTTATACCTACATCAACAACAAACCGTGATAGTATCATAGATATATAGTAGTATACTTTAGAAGTTTCAAGTAGGTACCCACGAATAATATTACACAATCACAACAAAATAACTAAAACAGTTATTCTAGGTTTTTTATTATATAATTTCGTCCAAATTTGAACTTAAAATGACTATAAAAATAAACTGTCCAGTATTTTTTAGATTTTTTGGTAACATAATCAACTACTTATACGTGAAATCTTGTTTTAAATTTTCAATCCTTAGATATAAAAGTCGAACATTTTATAAATTTTTAACTACAAAATAATTATTCGATTTTAAATTTGATGCATTTTGTCAAAATTCGATCTTTAAATGCTTATAAAAAAAATTGTGCCTTTGTATTTTTAATATTTTTCAACTCATACTGTAACAATATATCAAGAGCCTTGTATTAATTTTTTACACTTTTTGGCCCAACAGATAAAACTTTATTGATATTTATAGAATAAAACCTAAGAAAATTGAAAACTGTAAATGTCCGTAAACAGCTCAAAAAGAGTCAAAATATTTTCAAAATTGTATGGTGTATAGAGAATGCTAATATAAACATTCGGTGAAATTTTCATGTATCTACAGTTATTCGTTTTTGAATTACAACAAAATAAGGAAATCGCTACATGAGAAATCGAGTGAATATCCAATGTTGTAAAAATTTGAATTTCAAACACTCATAAAAATTTAGAGTGACTTTCCGGTACAGATTTTTTTATTGATAAAGGTAGAAAAACTTATGAGTAATCTTGTATTACATTTTCAAATCTTAGATTTAAAAAGAAAAGTTTCTACGAATTCTTAACTCAAAATAATTTGCTAATTTTCGTGATTTTTCCATATTTTGTCAACCTACCTAAATAAATACCTAATATAATTATCATTTTATTTTGGTAGGTAACCACGTTTTAATATTTTCATATCTTAAAATTATTAAAAGTTATATAAGTTAATTTAGGTAACCATATAGATACTTCTAAGATAAAATACAAAAGCTGTATTATTTTTAATTACATAAGCTTATATAATGAATTGTTTTGGTCAACGTTTTATTCAAAGCTTTTCTATTTAAATTTATTTTTTTCTTTATTTAGTTTCATTGTCAATATATATTAATATTACATAATAATGGATTTATTCTGGAGAACCGTTGAATTGAATTAAGCCGTTATATATATAGAACGGAAGTTTTTAGCATTTTAAAAGCTGTACTTAAGACTTTTATAAAATATAAAATATATATAGGTAAACCAGTTATAACAGGTAGAAAAATTAAATCATATTATTGTGATGCTGCAATTATTACTGAATGTTTCTTCTCTCACACTTATTTGCGTCTTGTAAATCCTTTTAGATAGGTAATTTCCTTATAGTGAAACTTAACTTAGTGAAAAAAAATTCCTTTTACTTTTATTTTTTTATAACGTATATATATATAAACTAATTTGTCATTTAAAATATTTATTACAACAATATTATTGAGGAGATTTTTCCAGCCCCTTTGCTCTTTAGTTGGGAGAGGTAGGTGAAATAAACACAAAATATATTGACGATGACAAAAATAATACCTAATTAGTGTACCATCTACTGTAAGAAATCAAATGTTTTTCATGGAAAATGGAACTCTTTTGCGAAGATGCTCAAACAAACTTCGCACTTTTCTGACTTAAAGACTTTTTTTTAACGTGTGTACAACAGGGGCGTCATTTCAACTTTTTTTTTGTTGGTGCGAAAACGTTTGCAGGCCATTCAAATTGTTACCAGGCCACATAGAAAACTTTTTTTTCTTTAGTGGGAGGGTCTAGTGGGGACAAAAACTGTAGAATATTTGTAAAATGTATTTAATACGTCACTTATATTAGTATGAAAACTTCACAATATTATTACTATTTTTGAAGAACTATGTGTAGGTACTTTTAATAAGTTTATATTATATTATGGATGTCAGTTGTATTTGGTAAGCAAATTTATGGATATAAAGCACCTTAATAGTACTTAATCGAACCTAACCTATACATTTTTTCTCCCTGCACACTCAAAATAAATAATATAGCTAAACGCCTAAACCTGAAATTTGTATTATGGGTTACCTTGTTCAAAATGGCACAATATACCTACTTAATTCTTATTTTTTTAAATTTTTCCACATCAATTTTAATTTAACTTTAAATTAATAAATTTAACTAAATTTAAATTTAATTTATTATTATTATATAATATATATTATTAAGTACCTATTTCACTTCTTTCTCGATCACGACTAGAACAATCGTACTCTCGACGT